GTGAGAGAGAGAGGAGTGAAAGAGAGACAGAGAGAGGAGTGTGAGAGAGGAGTGAAAGAGAGAGACAGACAGAGAGGAGTGAAAGAGAGAGGAGTGAAAGAGTGACATGAGAGGCATGAAAGAGAGAGAAAGGAATGAAAGAGGAAGAGACAGAGAGGAATGAAAGAGAGAGAAGAGTGAAAGAGAGGAGTGAAAGAGAGAGAGACAGAGAGAGGAGTGAAAGAGAGAGAAGAGTGAAAGAGATGACTGAAAGAGAGAGAGACAGAGAGAGGAGTGAAAGAGAGAGTAGTAGTGAAAGAGAGAGGGAGGGGTGCACGAGCGAGACAGAGAGATAGAGGAGTGAAAGAGGAAGAGACAGAGAGGACTGAAAGAGAGAGAAGAGTGAAAGAGAGGAGTGAAAGTGATCCTAGGATATATAACAGGGAAAATGGGGGCAAAGATCTGTTTCCCGTAGTTAGCCCTCTGGTACACCGACAGTGGTGCTCCTGTGTTATTATGTGGAGGGGTTGGTGGTGAGAGAGTCGACGGGTGGTTTGGCACAGTTTAACGTGCATTATATCGCCTCTACACGAGTATGTACGTTAATCTAGAGATAAGTAAAGTTTGAATAATGAAACAAATGTCCGAATGAATTTGAAGTTATTTATCGACTCATAAAACACGAACCAGTTTTATCCGAGGGCATTTACATGCTTCGCTAATATCCCGTCGATTCGTCATGCTTTGGAGCATAAATCATGGCGAGATACAAGCTTTGTCAATATTCCGTATAGCCAGTTTCAGATGATGGGTTTTACTGATTTTATATAACGCAACATGGCCCAAGATGATGGATTTTACTGATATTATATAGCGCGACATAAAACATATTTACTACTTGACTAAGTATTCCGACATCGGCGATGTAGCACGGATACAGCCCTCAGTATAAGGACATCTTCAGGCGACGTCGTTGTCAGGTGAAGCCAAACATCGCTTACAACGTACACAGATATGGCTCAGTAATTATTTTAGTTAATGATCACACGATTATGTCATATTAGTCGGGTGATGCTTAACCTCTTTTGAGTAGTATATTATAAAATCTATATAATCTATATATAATCCCTGTGGATCAATTATCAAAGTACCCCATGTTCAGACAAATGATAAGTTAACAAATTAATGTGCTGAAACTGGCCTCCATCAACTTCATACACATCGGCTGCACCGAATCGAAATTAAGAAAAAAACAAACCATTTTCACAAAATATATCCTTTTGTATTGGGAATAACAAACCCGGATCTATTTAAAAACATGGCCTAGAATTCGCACAAACTTAGTCGGCTATTCCAGAATCTTGGTTACAATGCATTAGGGCTGGGACGAGTCCCACTTTACTACCCGGGAATTCTGCTTGTAACGCGTTGGCCAGTTGTGGGAGTGTCTGCAGCGTGTTCTGACTTTGACGTTCACGTCGATCGAGTTCATCACAGAGGTGTTCGATTGGGTTGAGATCTGGAGATCTCGACGCTAAGGGCAAGTCGTTGATGTTGGCATTATGAAGGTATTCTACCGTGACATGAGCTGTGTGTGGTGGAGCGTTGTCCTGATGAAACAGCTCCCTCTGGAGGTCAATGATTGGAAGAGGGTGAGGTTAAAGAATTTGATTCATGTGGCGATTTGCTGTCAAATTCCCCTGAACCACAACCAAGTCAGATCTCGTGGTGTAGGATAAGGCCCCCCACACCATGACACTACTGCCACCGAATTTGTCGAATTCACGTACACAATATGGCGCTCATTTCGACAACGATAAACACTTTGTCTTCCACCTCGCCGGTGAAGAAGAAATCGTGATTCATCGCTAAACCACACTCGTCTACAGTTTCTCAAATTCCAAGGCTGTAAGGTATGGCACCAACGCAAGCGTCACTGTCGATGGATCTGTTGCAAAACATGAACGACAACTGGTCTTCTGGGTCGGATTCCAGCCTCGCGAAGATGGTTCCTGACAGTCTGGACCGATATCATCCTCAAACCAGGGATGCGTCCTGCAGTCTCCGTAGCTGTGGCATGCGATGACGTAGGTGGAACAGTCGAATGTAGCGATCCTGTGCAGGGTGGTAACTCTTGGTCGGCCGGTTCTCGGACGGTCTGCAATGGAATTGAACTGTGTGTATCGGTCCCAAAGGCGGCAAATGGTGCTGTGGTGGACGTTGAAGTGGCGTGCAACAGAAGACTGCGATTCCCCTCTTTGGATACGTCCTATGGCGTTGTTTCGATCGGCAGCGCAGAGTCTCGGCATTTTCGAACTTGAAAAATGTTGACAATTGAATGACAAATTATTGGCGTATGCTTGCCTTTTTAAAGCCACTACCACGAGTTACGAATGCCATAAGTTGCACGTGCATTTTGCGTTACTGTTTTCCTCAATGATATTTTCGAAAAAATGTGATAACCATTAGGGGTGTCACAATAAATCGAAATATCGATATATTGCTATTGGTAAGCACTTACAGTCAATAAATCGATTTTTTAATCAGTTACCGATCAATAGTATCGATTTCAGTTAGGAATATCGATCGTTTCGATTGTATTTACCATATCATGTGATTGAGTCACCGAAACACACTCGCGAACGCATCCGAGTGAGGATTAACTGCCCTTGATGCTTAGCAACCGGTCTTTCTTAAAGTAAAATGGCGGAGGGTGACAGTCAAGTGGAGTTTGTGACAAACTTGGGTGGAAAATCGAGGGTTTGGAAGTCTTATGGTTATCACATTCAAAGGAAACTTCAGTTCCAAGGTTTAATTCAACTCTAAAATCCATCAAAAATGATACACCGAAAACTATCGATATTTATCGCAATAGTTGCTTGCAATATCAATAGTTATCGCAATAGTTTCTTTCAATATGAATAGTTATCGCAATAGTGATTTCCAGACCAATAGTCACCCCTAATAACCATGCTGTTTAAGACATTGCAAATCGACAATGACTGCATTTTGAGGCACCGTTTGTCGCATATCAGGCCACCAACATTTTCAAATAACATATATCCAATTTATATACCGGATTTTTTGTATAGACAGGTTCAATGAATTATATACTGCCTGTGCGGTTGTTTTATTTAAGAGTGTAAGTCTCATTCCACCGCATGATTCAGGTTTATCTATCTTGAAACGACGGTTAACTCGAAATGCTCCATGTTACCATGGCAATACTGGAGTCTAGTATACATTTATGTGGCTAACTCGATCAACAGACTTGACAGATAACTCGAAGTCCAAGGTTAAATAAAAGTTATCCGTGGGCCGAAGTGTGACAATTTGACATTGGGTATATTTTTTAAAATATTTGTTCCAGAAAATATAACTTGTTGAAAAATGGTGTGAAAAAAAATGTGATAAGAAATACACGTCGGCTCTTCCTCTCAGATAAGAAATGAAGCCGCGACCAACTATAGCCCGATCACGCAGGCTCCTAATTACTCATCACATGCAGTGTAACTAATTTAATGAAACAGACTTTAATATTACGTGACCCAAATGCCGATAACACTGTTGCTAAATTGCCAAACAAAATTAACAAACGACAAAGTCAGCTATTATGCCACTGGTGCGCAAGTTAACGATTACTCGTTTCTAAATACCGACATATTAAGTCAATGGCACAGTTGGGTGTATATTTGACTCTGTTAATCTCGGGCTTGCCAACATTGCTATCCTGGGGCCAACAACGCTGACCTGCGCATTGTCAAAAATTGTGTGAGTGAGCTGTGTTTAACGCCACCTTAGACAGTATTTCAACAAGAGGAACGCTGCCATTTACCAATTTTGTGAAACCTGCAATTGGTATGGTGCTGACAGAATGAGTGTCAAAATCAGGATGGATGTAGGAGCTGAACCCACGACTAGCGGATCCTGGCACAATAAGGGACGCAACTTGCTGTTCAGAAACGACTCGACAAACTTCCCCTGCGACATTGTGAGTACATGTAGTTTACTCTTGCGGGTTGTTATGTGAAGTAAACAATGTAAATAATGTGTGAACTCAGTCTGGATCAATTAAATTACCATTTAAAATGGAACGCTGCAAAATCAGATTTCTATAAGAATCAGCATGGTCGCAAAATAATTTTATGTAGTGGTATGCATAACACCCTATTTCATTGACGCACGCCACCAGTCGTGACGTCACAGGTTTGCTTTCCTTGAGTAAGTTAATACAAGAGTGACGCGCTTCTTGAATGAGGTTCGACCAACGGGATACATATGAATACATATTAGTGCACAGAGCGAAACCGAATTACCATACTTCATATATTAGAGGCTCGATGTTTATTCTGTTTAATGCTGGCACAGTTGCTCAATCATACAATGGGCGGTCGGGTAGCCTAGTGGTTAAAGCGTTCGCTCGTCACGCCGAAGACCCGGTTTCGAATCCCGACATGGGTACAATGTGTGAAGCCAATTTCTGGTGTCCCCCGCCGTGATATTGCTGGAATGTTGCTAAAAGCGGCGTAAAACCAAACTCACTCACTCACTCAATCAATCATACAAAAGGTACATTTTTCAGGAAATTAATTATTAATCACCAGCATATCACACTATAAATGATGGACTCGGCATCTAATAGAGCCCCGGCTTCTATGTTTTGGACAGAGCGGGGAATCATGCATGCGTCAGTTAGAATACAGCGCCTAATAGAGGAAACACGGTAACCCTAACGATTCCGTTTTCAGTGTAATCGTCCGGATTAATAAATTCCGGATTAACGGATCATAAGTTCGTGGTGATTTAGAGAGGTTCCCAACAATAATCGCCCGGAAAGCAGAGTTTCCGGACTAACGAGGTCCTGGCTGGCCAAACACTCACACCGACTGAGACTGTAGCAATGAGATCTAAAGTTACCAGGTTGACGGAGGAGTGTGACGTCAGAGCCTTGTAAGAAGGCGGATATTCAAAATTAAAAGCTTCCTGTTCTTGATAAACCAGTGTTGATCAGAGGGCGGGAGTTTCAGACACAAACTTGACTAATTGCCGGACATACAGGGCTGCTAGCTTCCATAACGCGCACGTGACGAGAGGAGGAACAACATTCTCGTAAACATGTGTCTTCTGCTCGGTAATCTTTAACTGAAACAAATCAAACTCTTTGACTCCGCTTGAGTTCCTCCAGTTTGGTGATGAACGAAGTGACATTCTTTAATCCACTGCGTTGAAATATGTGAGCATTGTTTTGAAATACCTGCTGGTGTGGTATCATAAATAATACTGTATTGAAGTTAACCCATGTGGATGTTTGGAATTCCGTGCCCACCTTTGTGCCGCCTGCCGAAATGACATCAGGCGAGCAGGACCGCCTACAGTTCAGATAGCCTTCAGACGCGTCATATTGTTTTATGAGCGCTAATTGTGCAGGCCTGTTGTGGATGACCCTCCCCCCTCTTCTTCCACCCCCACCCATCGCTTCCTCCTCCCTCCCGGCATTCTCTGGACGAAGCAGAGGAATTTGGGCAGCTCCGGTAACACGAGACTGTGCACCGTCGCCCTTTCGCTGTTGAGGATGACGACAATCTAGCTGATAACAAGCCCGCTTAATGATCCTTTGTGTTCCTCGTGATTGTCTTCTTGGGAACACCTTCGGGAGGGACACAGGCCGTTGAAATTCCACTCAAAACTCTTGTATTTCGAAATAATTTCGTTGGAACACTTTCAACTTGGATAGTTGATACTTCATACCTGGATTCCTGTCGTGCAGATTGTGTCCTTTTGGAATTATTTGTGTCGTCTGCGAGTGTTGTAGGCGGCGACGCCATGAGGTCAACTGTTTTTCTGCTTATCGTCCTACAGATTGGTAAGTGTTAGGTTTCAAGAATTTCAACTGCTCTGACTACGTAAGGCTGGCTTTGGTTGTATATATATACAGTGTATCAGTTTACTTATGTAATGCACGGTGCAGGGTAACGCGCAGTTACGTGTGCAGCTTTCCATTTCTTATCGGTTTACGTAGAAAGGCTTAATGTCTTGTATCGACATCCTTGATGTAGGTTTAAAGGCGTGTCATGTCTTATTGTAATAATTATAGGGTCTTCTGTCTATTTTATTCTTACCGTAAATGGGTAGAGAATGTGATTCATGTTTAACAAGTGATTGAGTCAATGCGTAACACTGTATGCATTACTTTAAAAAATCGATTTCAGTTTTTCCGCGGAATAATGTCAATGCTTAGTGTTTGTTCTTTAATATTTCCTTCATAGAAGTCGAAATTGAATTAATCAGATGTCGATAAAAACATTGAGATCACAGTTATAACGCATTATAAGCGAAATATGCGATGGTATTTTGAAAACCTGAGTCAATATTAACGCCGTAATATCCTTGATACTGATTTCATTCTACCAATTGATATACCTTTACGGTTCGAATACGTATCGGTCTGTAAACAAATATAATGTTTGATGCAGAAACATTTTATTTGATGCTGTATGAAAACTTGGCATTTTGAGAAAATGGCCATGTTGTTACCATTAAATCTGTAGTTAAGTTCTTATGGTGTGTAATATCTCCACTGAAGGAAAATATCTTCAGGTAAAATTAAACATGTGCGTACCAAATGATTATTTTTACCTGAAGATAATGATAGTTATTGACCTCTCATGTGATTTAAAAAAAATATTTCTTTATAATGTTTTTGGTAAAGCCACGTATTCTTGTGTCTCATTTCAATATTTCCCACGATGTTCCTTGCACCAGTTTCAATAGTGTTTTAGTTTGCGTATTTTTTCTCTCGAATCGTGTCTGTGAAATTTGAAGTTAGTGAAAAATGACTGCTCACCACGTGGTTTCTTGCCTTTAGCAATCTGAACAAGCCCCTTTGAAGATCCGGGTTAGAATTGGTCTTCAGCAAACCATGCTTGTCTCAAGAGGCAACTAAAGGGATCGGCCGTCAGGCTCGCTGACTCGGTTGATGCATGTCATCGTATCCCAGTATTGATCGATGCTCATGATGTCAATCACTGGATTGTCTGGTCCAGATTTGATTATTTACAAACAAACTGAAAAAGTAATCTAGTTATTTACATATTAGGAACTGACCATTTATATTATTAGGGTGGGGACTGGTTAATTTTTTGGTGTTTTTTGTAGGCGACAGAATATTTTTCAGACAATGCTTCAAGAAATACACATTTTTGTCTGAAAGAAGGAACCGAAATATTTTTTCGCAACACATCTTTTCAGGACATCCATCGTGTACTTCGTGTAAAACCTAAAGCAAAATATATATTTTCCAGTATTTTCAGGAACAATTTACTTTTCTCAAAAACAACCAGCCTCTCACCCATAATATCACAAGATCGGTCCCTTGTTACCTTAGTATCAGTAGATTGGTGGAATCATACTACAGCAATGGTACGTTAGTCTAAAAGTACAGGGGGCACGGGTGGCCCAGTCGTCTAAGGCGCCGCGATTCGCTGTGCAGAGTTGCGTCCCTTGGACACGCCAGAAACCTATGATTGTGGGTTCGAATCCCGGTTCGCCCCAATTATGTTTCTAGGTTTGTCAGCACCATACCCGTGCTCGTGGGTTTCACCGAAGTGGTAAACGTCTGAGACCTGCATCACTTCGGGCTTTCCTCCCACATGAAGCTGACACGCCGCGATATAACTGGAATACTGTTAAAAGCGGCGTTAAACCCAACTCACTCACTCACTCACTCTAAAAGTACATTTGGGCGAGAGCTGGGATGGGCGGGAAAGCGTTGCGAAAGTCATGCGGATATATCAAGGACTTGCGTTTCCACTGATTAAAAATACATCCTGGTCATGTGTTCACAGCGATGTGCATATTAAATTAATTTGTAAACAAATTATTATCTGTTGCCAAATTATGTAATTGGTCATAGTGATGCCCTTAAATGTTGATGGGCCGTCTCATACCAGCGAACGTAAAAAGACTTATAACTTTTTAAGTGTCTCTACTTCAGTATGGTTATTTATATTGTGACCACTACACAGAGATATTGCTTTTGAAAAAACATTTTTTCTTTCCATACAACCATGGCAATTTTATTAATTATTGTGAAAGCTTAATTTGAAAAGTATAGTTGTAAAATATTTGACGTTTATAAAGATTACAAATAATAAATTAATTATAAGGGTACTATATTAATTCCTATTAGTGTGTATTTAATTATTGAACTCCCCACACCATAACCGAAGGATAAAAATATCAGCCGAGGTTCTCATAGATACCTTATAAGTAAAATAATATAGCCAAGGAGTCGAGGCGAGAATATCCGCCTGCAGCGGCAGTGTCGTTATTTTGCTATTCTAATCTTAGTCTCAATACAAGCGGTCTCCCTGTACCGTCTCCGCTTTCAAAGCCTAATGATGATATTGTTGCTCAAATTAGAGTTAATGTCCAACGGTCGACGTGGGAAGGGAAATAGGAGGTATGCAGTCTGCATGCTCGATCTGGGCGTGACCCGGAAGTAAGGCGTGTATGGTCGCAATAGATAGCTCGTCGAGGCGTAACATCGCATTGTGCGCTGCACGTTCATCCCGTGCAAAATGTAATATTTGACTGTATTTTATTAAATTGACAACTTTTGACAGTGCGTTATGTTGAAAAGATATTTACAAAGGAAACACGTCTTCGAAGAATTTTTTTTTAATAAGGCGACAATACCTTAAGTAATAAGACTACTATATGCATGTATTACTGAATGTTCTCACGTAAATCCTGTTGCATGGATTGCACGTGCAGCATACATTATGACTCCTATCAAACGAATTGTCTTGAGTTTATGTTCCACGTGCTCATTTGATCAAATGACGATATCTCATTGGACAAAACCTTCACTTGAACTTTGAGGATATCCGGGTGTTACAATTTACTGCAATATGGCCGTGGAGGTAAATCGTCTTGAAGAACGGGCGACGTTTAAGTTCTGGATTTTGTATTGAGACCAGATAAAAAAAATTCAAGAAGGCTACAAAAGCAGACGTGTTTTTAATTAAAACTATGATCCCAAATTTTTTTTCTTCTAAAATACACAGGGGGCACTGGTGGCCCAGTCGTCTGAGGCGCCGCGACTCGCTGTGCAGAGTTACGTCCCTTGGGCACGACAGAAACCTAAGATTGTGGGTTCGAATCCCGGTTCGCCCCGATTATGTTTCTAGGTTTGTCAGCACCATACCCGTGCTCCTGGGTTTCATCGAAGCGGTAAACGTCTGGGACCTGCATCACTTCGGGCTTTCTCCCACATTAAGCTGACACGCCGTGATATGACTGGAATACGGGGATAAACCCAAATCACTCTCTTACTCTAAAATACACATTGCAAGAATGTAATTTTTTGTGGCAAACATTTTTATCTAACAATATGAAGCATTAAATTTCTTTTACGAATTATATATTTGTAAATATATGAAATACCATACTCTGACAGTGTTGTAAGCGTTGTTAATTAAACAATTAGCAAGAAAAAGAGTTGATAGTAATAATATACAACGATGTGTCGAAGTCTGATAGAGCGAAATATTGTATAAAACGAACTATCATTTTAGTCCCTAAGCAGTCACCATTAGCGGTATTGTCCGTGTGCATAGTGATACCAAATCACTATAATCTCAATGATAACAATGATAATAATGATGTGAAACCTGAACTCGAACAGCCCCGGAACACATATAGACCTATCATCGACCCCAGTGAGTGAGTGAGTATGGTTTTACGCTTCTTTTAGCAATATCACGGCGGGGGCCACCAGAAATTGGCTTCACACATTAAACCCATGTCGGGAATCGAACCCGGGCCTTCAGCGTGACGAGCGAACGCTTAAACCACCAGGCTACCCGACCGCCCCTCGACCCATCCGAAGTTCGAGACAACGGGAATTCCGATTTGAAATTATGGTGCCGCTACATACGCCTTGTGCCAGGATCACAAAGGTCAATCTTCTTAAACGAAATATCTAATTAATATATTTTGAGATATATCTGTATGTCATATATTTCAAAATCAAACAATTAATTATTATTTAGTGACTACGAAGTTCAAGAAATCAATCTCAAACTGGGGATATGTCGAAAATTCAATATTCGGTCATCGCCAACCCGTTAAACTGCACAGTCATTATCCAAGTGCTCGGATAAACGAAGGCCCCTGAACTGACCAAAAAAAAAGCATTCGTCACCACTCGCCCCTTTCCGTCACCTGCAAGAAAACTCGTCGCCCTATGGATGAATGTTATGTGCGAAAATACGACAAACCAATCAGACTGCGCGTATGACTTCAAGTACTTCAGGCAATGAACCCTTCAGGAATTGTTTTGGTTTAATTTACATATGCCTTGCATCTAAAAATATACCCAACATACAGTTAAATGTGTTCAAACATACTGTATAATACCGTAAGTCCAGATGTATTTTAAATAGCATCTGAAAAAAATATATACATGGGGGGAATATACATGAATCATTACGCAACGAGTTGACAATTCTTTTAGCTATGCTCGTTTGCGCTCAGACGGAACCCAGTTGCACAAAATGGCAAAAAAAATTGTTTTTAGCCATGACAGTCCCGTGGATGTCTGATTCATTAGCGTCCCATAGGGTGTGTCTATGATATCACTGTTGATGATATCATGTTTGACAGCGTGCTAGGGATGGCATTGTTTTAAATGTCAACATGGATGGAATCGGGGAAAACAAACATATGCAATTTGACCTCCAGCGCCCTCTGACCCCTCGTGTGGGAACCTCTTGTCTGTCAATGCTGTGGCCCAACAATTCATTATAGTGGGAGCGGCTGTGTTGACTGTCGATATAAGTGCACTCCAATTAACAGTTTAAAGTGTATTGAAGTTTCAAGGGCTTTTGTATCAAAACAAATTGACCAGGGAATAAGGGGAAATGTATAAATGTATTGAGCGAAATCTGCATTTTGTTTAGTAAATAACATGCAGCTCACACGCACGGAAGCCTTTTAGGGCTATCTTTGTTTTAATTTTTGCCTTGAAATTTCAAGTTAGTATCTTGAAATTTTAGGACGTTATGTTGATATTTCAAGATACTGAGTTAAAATTTCAAGATACATACAAAGTTGTAATTTTAAGTGAGTGAGTGAGTGAGTGAGGTTTTACTCAGCTTTTAGCAATATTCCACCAATATCACGGCGGGGGACACCAGAAATGGACTTCACACATTGTACCCATGTCGGGAATCGAACCCGGGTACAATATTTTGGGTTTCAGTTTCTGGGACAATAATACATAAGTTATACACCTTCTACTTGCGTGTATCTTGTATCTTAAACTTAACGACATGACATGACATGACGGTGGTATGTCTTTCAAAGGTCAAGGTCAAATTTGAGGTGAGGTCATGGTTGCGTCACTCTTTGCAAGTACTATGGCACTTTACTTGTACAATCATGAGATTTGGCAATTTTTGGATGTTATGAATTTGCCACTTGATCTTATATTGAAGTTGCAAAACTTATTGAACGCCCCTCGTATTTTGCAAATATTTTCATGGTGCTCACGTGATCTGATGCACTTCGCGAGGCAAGACCCGTTTTATTACAATATATATTTTGATCATCAATTGGATCATCTTGACTGGGGGCCGCCTTGTTTGAAGCAAATGCAAGTGAGGGGCATAGAATGGGGCATAGAATGGGCATAACTCGTAATAGCCACAGGTGGCGCTACGATCAAACCCAGAAATTTCAGCATAGTTCGGCAAGGGTGGAAACTGGACTTTAAACAGTCAGTTAACGCCCTTGCCTCAGGAAGATGAAATGAGACAATCCAATGAATGTTAAGGCGTTCACTGTCCTTATTTAGCTAAAACTTCCTTGTTTTGATGATACCACTTGAAACGAGACGGCTGTCCCAAGGTCAGCGACAATGCGTTATCGCTCATCCGAAATCAGGGCCAAATACCAGGAAATTTAATGTGATGCTCCTTCAGCATAAAATCGCTGCAATGCTGGCGGCATTGCAATATTTTACATGCACTTCACATATATGTTTCAGTGAATGGGGATCTCGTGGACAAGTCGACATTACCTCCCCTTGACACCACACCGACAGGTCAGTATGTGATTGTATGCTGTTTCTTTATATTAGGTTACAAAAAGTGAGTGAGTGAGTTGAGTTTAACGCCGCTTTTAACAGTATTCCGGTTATATCACGACATGTCAGCTTAATGTGGGAGGAAAGCCCGAAGTGATGCAGGTCTCAGACGTTTACCACTTCGGTGAAACCCACGAGCACGGGTAATGTGCTGACAAACCTAGAAACATAATCAGGGCGAACCGGGATTCGAACCCACAATCATAGGTTTCTGGCGTGTCTAAGGGACGCAACTCTGCACAGCGTCTTAGACGACTGGGCCCGTGCCCCCTCAGCATCAGAATACATCAATATCGGACAGTGTAATCCCTACGAGCATGTTATTGTGTGCGAATGACGAACTTATAACAATGCATCATGTATCATGTTGAATCAGGGATTCAAACGTCGGTCATAGCTAAGGGACGTAACTCTGTACAGAGAATTAGGGCCCCTTAAAGTAAACTACAGGGCTCCCAGAGCCCTTTTTAATTGCGTAATGCCTATGTTGTAGATCCCTGCTCAACCAGCCATGAGATCGCCTCAGCTGACCGAGTTGTCAGCAGCGACGTCACCACCGGCAGATGCGACGACAACCTCAACGGCGGCTGGTACAGATTCACCGTCAACGACGTTCCTGCCACATTGCCAACGGTCTGCCTCAGGGTGAGAAGCTCTATTCTGCATTATCCATAACAGCTTTTATTTTATATATATTCATTACTTGTAGATTTACTTAGCTCAACAAAACATAACAACATTGTGCATGGTCAGAATTTATCGTTTGTCAGAATTGACCAGGGGTCCGTTTCCACCATGGACCCTTTATACGCTCTATACTTAGGGTCCATGGTTCCACAAAGCGATCGTAGCGCAAAATTGATCGTAACGTATTCTGACATGGACTTAGGACTGGCGTGACGCTACGATCGCTTTGTGGGACGGGACCACGGGGTTGTGCTCTCATACCGTCTTATTGCATGAAAGTCCAGTCCCTGTTATATACACTTGGATTGGTTGGTTGGTTGGTTTGTTGTTTTACGCCGCACTCAGCAATATTCCAGCTATGTGACGGCGGTCTGTAAATAATCGAGTCTGGACCAGACAATCCAGTGATTGATATCATGAGCATCGATCCACACAATTGTGATACGATGACATGCATCAACCAAGTCAGCGAGCCTGACCACCCGATCCCGTTAGTCGCCTCTTACGACAAGCATAGTCGCCCTTAACGGCAAGCATGGGTTGCTGAAGACCTATTCTACCCCGGAATCTCTACACTTGGAACAAGTTATCTACCTATTACTATATATTACTCTATTACGTAACCATGTTTTGAAATCATATCTTGTTTTAATTTTCAGCCTGTTTTAGGTTTCGTCACCGCCACCATTTTGTCTAATGTCTACTAAACAAAGATCACTGCCATCAGAGATTGTGCATGATCATGGGGAAGTATTTGGGCACATGCAGTGAAAAGTATATAGGTCAAGGTCGCAGCTGTCAGTTTCTGGGACAATAATACATAAGTTATACACCTTCTACTTGCGTGTATCTTGTATCTTAAACTTAACGACATGACATGACGGTGGTATGTCTTTCAAAGGTCAAGGTCACATTTGTGGTGAGGTCATGGTTGCTTCACTCATTGCAAGTACTATGGCACTTTACTTGTACAATCATGAGATTTGGCAATTTTTGGATGTTATGAATTTGTCTTCATTAAGGTCAAGGTCTGGAAGCACTGTTATCCGACTGGAAGTGTGTGGAGCATGGTGGAGCATATGTTAAGATATGACACGAGTGATCACGAATGGCTCTGATCTGTTTCAGCCCGGGGCCTGTGGGGGCGCCGTGTCCTTGAGGATTGACCTTGGTGACCAACCTCTCCCGGACGTGGGGAAGGAGGTGGAGGCGTGGTCGTGCGGGGCATACGACATCCTCGGCAAGTTCGACTGCTGCGTTCTCCGACAACCCGCCAAGATAAGAAACTGCAGCAACTTCTTGGCGTACCAGCTGCAGAAGCCAGACCGGTGCGACGTGGCCTACTGCGTGGAACGTAAGACTCTTACACTACTTCACAAAAAAAGGTTCCCTCGAACGCAAACGCGGAGCGAACATGTCGCGTTTTTGGGGATGTCTGAATGTACAGTAAAAGACACAAACAGACGTTCCTCTGACTTTTCAGTGACTGTTATGCATTTCCACAATTCTGCTTTCCATGTTTAACTCTTCCACAGAAAGGGCGGTCGGGTAGCCTAGTGGTTAAAGCGTTCGCTCTTCACACCCTATTTCATTGACGCACGTGGCCAGTCGTGACGTCACAGGTTTGCTTTCCTTGAGTAAGTTAATACAAGAGTGACGCGCTTCTTGAAAGAGGTTCGACCAACGGGATACATATGAATACATATTAGTGCACAGAGCGAAACCGAATTACCATACTTCATATATTAGAGGCTTGATGTTTATTCTGTTTAATGCTGGCACAGTTGCTCAATCATACAAGGGGCGGTCGGGTAGCCTAGTGGTTAAAGCGTTCGCTCGTCACGCCGAAGACCCGGGTTCGAATCCCGACATTGGTACAATGTGTGAAGCCCATTTCTGGTGTCCCCCGCCGTGATATTGGTGGAATATTGCTAAAAGTGGCGTAAAACCATACTCACTCACTCTTCCACAGAAAGCTCGAAAATCATCGTATTTTAGCCCTTTATCCACGAGTGTTGCGAGGTGAGGGATGGGGGTATGTAATGATATTGGTGAAAGCGGCGTTAAACCACTCGCTCACTGATTACCTGGGTGTCAAAAAGTATGTGCTTCACAAAACGGGTGCGACAATGTTAACATCCAAAGGTTCTCAATACTGTGCGACCCGTGAAGATCCGGGGTAGAATAGGTCTTCAGCAATCCATGCTTGCCGTAAAAGCCGACTATGCTTGTCGTAAAAGGCGACAAACGGGGTCGGGTGGTCAGGCCCGCTGACTTGGTTGATGCATGTCATCGATCCCAATTGCGGGGATCGATGCTCATGATGTCAATCACTGGATTGTCTGGTCCAGACTCGATTATTTACAGACCGCCGTCATATAGCCGGAATATTGCTGAGAGCGGCGTTAAACAAGAAACAAACAAACAAACAAACAACACTGTGCGTTTCAGACCCTAGGGAGAGGATTCCCTCGAATGTCCTCAGAAAGTATGGAGAAGACGTCTCCCCTCAAAGTGACGACACAACCACGCCATCGTCATCGTCACCAGCGACAACTCCAGACTTCGCTAACTGTGAGTCGTGTCCCTCTCCTGTTACATCTAACCAAATCATAATGAGATCTTGAACTCCGGCATCTACATATGGATAAAAGCAATGAGCTTAACCACACTGTCAGGCTTCAGACCGGTTGGTCCTGTGGAAGTTATTGTGGGAGATTCCAGATGATATTTTTTTCAAATTATGATAAATCCTTGAATAAGGGAGCAACCATTTGATATAATTGGGGGGTAGGGTGGTGGTGGTTCTTTTGTCTTTTGTAATAGTTTGTACCAGAAATTATTATTATTATTTTTTAAATCACCATAATTTGACCTCAAGACCACCAATACAAATGGAAAGCTTAATTAATGAAAAATAATTTAGTAAATGAAATAAATATATAAATAATAATAACAATTCAGCCTCCCACACCCCAGAATATTAAATGGTTGGTTCCTAATGTGTATCAAATATGCAGCATCAATTCTCTCATCTTATATCGTATTTCTTCCTGTTCTTGTATTTCTGTATGTTTTCTGCTGGTGAATAGTACATATATTGTATTACTACCTAACGTCTGTTCTATAGTGATACCCTTCCAATTCACGAGCATTGTTGTTACCGTAGTTCCTGTTATAAATATCACAGTTTTCTTGGGTTGAGGAACCTCAACCAGTCTGTGGGGATTATGGGTTAGAATAGGCCATTAACAACCAATACCCATCTTAAAAAGCAGCTTAATGGATCGGGTGATGAGGCTGTGGGACTTGGTTGATAGCGTGTATCCCGACGGCGTTGATTGTTGCGTGTATCCCGACGGCGTTGATTGTTGCTCACAATATCAATCACTGGTTTGTCTGGTCCTGATTCTATTATTTACAGACCGTCTTCATATATATGGATTAAGTTGTGTGCGGCGCAACTTCCCGAGGCAAGAGAGTTAACTGACTTTAAAAGTCCAGTTTCCACCCTTGCCGAACTAGGCTGGAATTCCTGGGCTCGATCGTAGCGCCACCAGTGGCTATTACGAGTTATGTCCTTTCTATGCCTCTCCTATTGACCAATCAGATTCAACCTTTCGTATCACTTGCATTTGCTTCAAACAAAACGGTGGCGCCCAGTCAAGACGATCTGATTGATATCAAGATCTATATTGTGATAAAACGAGTCTTACATCGCGAAGTGCACCAAATCACGTGAGCACCTTGATTAAAAGCATGAAAAGATTTAGAAAATACCTGTTGACAACGAGTTAGCGGTGCACATGCTTTGCAAATCCTGCAGTCGACCGAAATCTGCATGACACTTTACGAACTGGATATCGATTTCGGTGCGCGATTTTGATTGGACAATGCATAGACTCGTTAGTCCAGCCAAAATGTAACTCCATAATACCAGCCTAGTTCGGCAAGGGTGGAAACTGGACTTTCATAGTCAGTTAACTCACTTGCCTCGGGAAGATGTGTGCGGCGTTACCAAACACACAAACAAACTAGTAACCAATCAAAAATACCGGTAACATGAAGAAAAAACAATTCATGACATACATTGCAGGAACTACGGTACCAGATTGCATGATATATCATACGCTATTTACATTGCATTAGGCGTAAAATGTGGTTCCGATCATCCGAATTTCTCTTAACAGAATATAGATATAATACCCTGGATGATCGAGGATGTGTTCAAAGCGGCTTTAACCATGCTTACACACTCATTCTAAACGCTGGCTGTTAATGCCAGTTGTTTTTGGGAGGTGAATCTCTATGCAGTGAAGTTTTGTTCCAGCCAACTGGTGCATTGAAGGTATGGTCTGGTGCACGAGGGGAGCGCCGGGCTGTATGTCTTACGAGGATTGTTTGGGTGAGGGGAACGTCATCTAAATATATTCATAAACAGAAATCTGTTTTTGTGGTTAACGGTTCCTCTGTAATATGAGAAGAGAAAACACTCGGTAACTAAAACACAACGTTTCATCCTGGTACTCAGGTTGTAGATGTTTATTATTAAAACATATTTTTAAAAAACAAATACAAAAAAACACAAAGTAGTGGAGATATGATAAAGATGTAGAATATTTCGAAATGTTTGTACGGGCATTGGTCCTATGGTTGAACATTCAGACACAATAGATAATTTCAATAGATTCATTTTCACGCCGAGTCGGCATACGACGTGGCGGCAAAACAAAATGGCGGCAAGCATCGCGCTTCGCCCCTGTAGGTCTAGAATGTCACCCAGACCCTAGAAAATAAATTTAAAAAGGAGTCCAACTCAAGTCTGGATTGATTTGGCAAGTCTAGATTGCCTCACCTCAAGGAAGTTAAGGATTGATCTAGGCTCCATTTGGATTTTATTTTATTGTTTTGTATGGGTACTAAATGTCAAACCGAAACAGTTTGTTGGCTGCTGTTTTTACAACATAGATGCGATGAATAGAAGTATGAATGACTACGCTGCTACAGCATATAAAGTAAGGGTTGCCGTTTCATTCGCACTTATAAAGATCTGCGGAAAGAAACGGAACCTTTCTTTCTTAAACTGTTTTTGTCGACACAGCTGGACACGAAGAACATCTTCGAGACTTATAGCTATAAAAGGTTAAGTCGGAATAACATTTACCAAACTGGTATATTCGCCATATTCTCTGTATATAATCGCGCGACCCTTTGTCCTGAAACCCCCCTTAACTCGATGTGGATTCTACCACTTCGAGGTGAGTGACTCCTCTTATTTCACATCATTACTCCTGTCTGCGTATGTCGTATGTAATACTTGGTATGGGAAATCAAGAATCTGCCTTTCTGCTTCTTGCAGACTATAGTCTACGAATGGTTTCGTTGTCGCACTGCAGTGGAACCTCGTTAAACTGGACACCGTAATCCTGATCAAGGGCGTGGGGTGCAGGCGGGCACGGAACTGCTCCCCAACAAGCCTTTTCAGACACCTTATGTGCCAACCTGTTCACTTCGTGATTTGGTCTTGGGTGGTACCGACCTTTTAAAAATATTGGATTCGACTTGCAAGCTTAACATTTGACCCTACCGCCAGTACATCCCAACTGTCTATGCCAAGCCTTTATACGTATGACGAAACACTTGCGGTGCTACGTATACGCACTGACCTCAACGTCGTCAGAAAATGACGTCAACGTCGAAAACGACGTAAACGTATTTCTTTATATCATGAGACCGCCTCCGTGGTCTTGTGGTAGAGCGTCCGCCCGGAGAGCGGAAGGTCCAGGGTTCGATCCCGGGCCGCGTCATACAAAAAGACGTTAAAAGATTGTACTTGTTGTTACCCTGTCTGGCGCTCGGCATTAAGGGGCTAAAACAAGGACTGGTCGGCTCGGAGTCAGTATACTGTGTCTGAGTGGGGTATTCATGTTAAACTGCGGCATGGTATCTCAGTGAGCTAGCACTATAAATCGGCATCAGTCCGGACTAGTACAAGCAGCCACACACACACATACACGTGCATGCACGTCGCTATATAAGTGCAGTAATCTTGGACGCGACGTTAAACCCAATTTCACCTCACCTCTTTATATCATGGTTAAAACGCCCCGCTAAACACCTTAAAACCTGCTGAATTCGATACACATCGTCCATATTAACGAGGTTTCACCGTGTAGAAATGAGTGTCTATAGAAACCCTTAGCCTGTGTCTGTCTATATCCCTTTCAAAGTATTTAGGTATTCATTTCCTTTTCTTTCCCGCATGTATCCTCGTTCTTCCTATCTTGTATTGCGTACTTGTAACTTATAATATTAACAATATATCTATATTAACCTCAACTATATTCTGCCATTAGCTATACCCCTCACCACCACCAGCTCGAGCGACATCACGACGGGGACGAGCCAGGGTAATTAGTTTCATATTCTAATCTTACATGCAAGTCCTGTTTTGTAAGATCCAGTCGTCAAAGGCGCCGCAATTTGATGTGGAGAGTTGCGTCCCTTAGTCCTGCCATGATCCTATGTTTCCGGGTTTGAATCACATATCATGATCATTGGTTTGTTAGAACCGTGCCGACCTGTGAAGACCCAGGTTAGAATAGGTCTTCAGCAACCCATGCTTGCCGTGTAAGGCGAGTATGCTTGTCGTAAAAGGCCACTAACGGGATCGGATGGTCAGGCTCGCTGACTTGGTTGATGCATGTCATCGTTAAACAACCAACCCTTTCCATATTTTATAATGTACTATTATCGGCACGGGATGGTGAAAAAGGTTTCATTTCCATTGTATTCCTCCTTTAAGATTTTGTGTTTTCAATTCTTTCATCTGCCCTTACAGCCACGACAGCACCAACTGCAACAACGGAAACCACACCAGCCAGCGATGTCACAAGTACGTCTTCACAAACTTCTCTTTAACAAATTGTTGCATTCTTGCAAACTAATAACAACAGAACCACACCAAGTAATGATCACTCACGACACAGACACCGGGTGTTTTGAAAGTCACTCACGACACAGACACCGGGTGTTTTGAAAGTCACTCACGACACAGACACCGGGTGTTTTGAAAGTCACTCACGACACAGACACCGGGTGTTTTGAAAGTCAACTCTGGATATGGTGGAATTATATACAGTGAAATCTTGTAAAGCGGACCCCGATAATCAAGAAACCTCGTTATCCCGATGAGTGTATGACGAGTGTTACGCATTAACATTGATTCTTAAATCCGGATATTTGTTAATCCGGACGAATTAATAAATCCCTTAAGTATAATCGGATTAACGGGGTTTCACTGCGTTGGAAATATAATAACTGCTAAAATTGTGCGTATTCGTAATTTGCCCTTAAAAAGGCAAAAACCTCATCCAAAATATGTCATTTTGCAAAATATTATTCATTTATAAATGTTATCTTAACATCATAATAATCATATCCGAAGTTCACTTAACCTAATTGTTTACCGACACAGTATTGTTTCACAAACACTGCCTTTTGAGATCCTTGTGGGTTCGAATCCTACATTTACTCCGATTCGGATTATTGGTTTTTGTGCACCATACCGTGCTCGTGAATGTACCATAGTTGCAACCTTAACCTGCATTTTGGGTTTTCCTCCCATCTCACGAAACTGACCGCCACGATATATGTGAAATTATGTTGAAAGTGGCGTTAAACTCACTCACTCATTCACTCACTTCACTGTATTTCACCCTTAGATATAAACTGTTGTTAGATGATTGGTCTGGGCTCAGTGTGAAGAGCTTACTAAGCAAACGTAAGAAGTTCGTCTGGATGACTGTGAACTATGCAACTCCGAACACTCTTTTTTTGCAGCTGAAAAAACAACAGTTGATAGCGACGCCACAACAAGCCCTAATATAGGTAGTTATTATATATTTTGTGATGAAACGTTTGTTTGAAACTATTTCACTCGAGTGAAATTGTGCTTTATACGGTAATTGTGCTTCTTGACACTAAGATCACGAAGACCAGTGGAGAACATTCGTTATACACAGAACATATGAACGTATTTTATGTCATCGACTGACCTGACACATTGATATATCCTTGAGGTCTCTCGACAAGAATAGATTAATATATTTCATAAACATACAATTTTTAAGCTTTCTAATATCAATGTTTCACTGTTATCTAAAACAGTTTCTCCGAAATATATTTTACCGTATTTCCTCGTTTAAACAACGGATAATTTTATGCACGGAATTCCCCTCACTACTATCTTTGCGATTAAACGTCGGGGGTAAAGAGTGTCTGAAATAAATATAATCCAGGCTTTTACTCGAGGAAGCACGGCAATCTACAGTTTTACACAAATTCGCTTGAACATAATTGTACTCTGTTCAAGGTTTGATGGTGATTTTACTGCAATCTTGATTAAGACTCAACCCCTCTTTTTACAGCTGAGAAAACAACATCTGGCAATGACATCACAACATCCCCAAATATAGGTATACACGTGACATTATAATTGATAAATTGGTAATAATTGTACCGTAATTCCATTTAAGCTTGTATTCCATAATTTTTTGTTGCGAAAGAACTGTGGCGACATGTGGCAATGTTAGTGTTATACCCATACTTTCCGAGGTGTCACGACCACTGCAGAGGGTGCCAAGCCCCTTTAAATACACCGGATGTCGAGCCCTGTTAAGTGGTATTCCGGATGCCGTGCTGCAATACCCATTAAATAGGGTCCTGTCCACAAAGCGATCGTAGCGCCAAGACGAAGGTAACTCCCATACTTTTATAAAGACTTGCGACAGTCCTAGTGCTACTATCGCTTTGTGGAACGGGGGCCTGGTACACCGCTGCCAGTATATGTTGAAATATTTTTTTCGGGTGTTTTTTTCAAGAGTGACGAATAAATAAATTGTATAGCCTAAGCGTATGAGCATGCATGGTCGTGCATACTATGTGAAATATCAGTCTAATTTACTTGTTCTTAATTGGATGTCTGGACAAATTATGAGGTACGTTGGATACCTCGAGTCGCCTTCAATGCTTTCAATGCACTAACATCCGTCTGTGGAGATCATTCGTCACCACTCGCATACATTCGGCTTGTCCCGGAATCGGACGAGTTGTCACGAATATGACATAAGTTGGAAACGAACGAAGTGTTGGTGTAACTTTTAACCCACTCCTCCAACTGAACATTTTCAAACCTTCACTACGCTGTGTGTTGTTAACACATGACAAAGCATACAAAAGTAAATGAAACGGACGTAAAATATTCGCAAACCGTTCCATAGCGATAAATAGTTTCTAAATGCTTCCTGCACCACTCATGCCACTCGTCTCTTTAAGCCCTCGGTCGGCACTGACAGGAACCCATTATTGGAACTTGTTTCGGCGCATGGTGATCACATGACACAACCCCGCCGTGCGGCAGGTCATGAACCACATACACATGTTTCAATTATTTCCGTGGCACGGGTGCAGAGTTGCGTCCCCTGCCAGAAACCTATGAGTGTGGGTTCGAACCTCGGTTCGCCTTGATTTTGTTTCTGGTTTGTTAGCACCATACCCGTGCTCGTGGGTTTCACCAAAGTGGTAAACTTCTAAGACCTGCATCACTTCGGACATGGCTCCCACATCAAGCTGACACGCTGTGATATAACTGGAATACTGTTCAATGTGGCATTGTAATAAACTCAATCACTCCAATTGATTTTTGCCTTCAAATTAAATTACATCATTTCTGTTAAGCATAGAATAACCTGTTATCCGAGAGGCCGTCGTGTTATACCATCTAGCTTCACACAATCCCGATTTTTAGTTCATCGTACTCCATTGCTGCCCGAGGTTTAACGTATTTAACGGAATAAGCCGAGTGGAGCTGACTGAACTCCTCCTGTGGCAAAGCTAAACGTCGTGCGTGACCAACGCGTGGCTTTCCGGGACAAGCCGAAAGTAGGTTCGGGAAAGGTGCGAGTGTTGACCAATGGTCAGTGGTTTTGACAGTCATGTATTCGGAGTTGGTAGCATAATAAAAGTGTACCGTATTATTCACTTCTTAGAGAAAAGGGTGAATTAAACTTATTGTAACGTCGGCAGTATTTCAGTCATATTGTGAAAAGAACATATGGACCTGTCGATACATATCGGTTAAAACAAATTACTAATGGCAACCGGAAGTGGAAGAACGGAGACCGGAAGCGGTTCATTAAAATATGATAAAACACTGCAATACCTGTTTGCGTTTGTTGTATACATTAAGCTCAAAGTTCCCGATCAAGTGTGACATCGATTATGTTTATGATTATGTCTCAGAAATGTTTATAAAAATATCGGTAACAACGCTTTCGCTGTTTCTTCAGCTGGCGAAACAACGCTGGGCAGTGACGTCACAACAACACCAAATATAGGTATATGCAAAACTGATATTTTCATGAATATATAATAGTTATAGTATTGTTTACCTTTCGGAATCTGAATTAAAATCACCAAAATGAAAAGAAATTTTCCAAACATTAGAAAGATTGCAGAAAGTTCGGAGTTCGCTATCAAGCATAATCCTACTTTGACAGTACTTTTTCTGACCTGAAATCTTATGTTATATTGAGGTCCTTAACTGACAAATACCTTTGTTTCAGCTGAGAAAACAACACTTGATAGTGATGCCACAACGCCTCCATATATAGGTATAAACACATCCATACTGTTTTCGTGATAGCTAAATATACCGTTTCCAGTATAATTGACCTCTGAGTAGCGATTAATTGGTATAATTTCTGATTTTTCATGTGGTTACTCGTATTTCTTTGTGTGGATTTCCCGACATGCAGGGGATACAAATTTGTTCTTTTACTCTTTTAAACAAAGGTAAAAGGACATGTTTAGTCAAAAAGCCATTACAATGATATTAAGTATGCTATAGAACCAGAGAATTCTATAAGTATGAGAGATGTAAATGTAAATTCTATAAGTATGTTAGATGTAAATGTGGGGCGGTCGGGTAGCCTAGTGGTTAAAGCGTTCGCTCGTCACGCCGAAGACCCGGGTTCGATTCCCGACATGGGTACAATGTGTAAAGCCCATTTCTGGTGTCCCCCGCCGTGATATTGCTGGAATATTGCTAAAAGCGGCGTAAAACCATATTCACTCACTCACTCACTAGATGTAAATGTAAATTCTATAAGTATGTGAGATGTAAATGTAAATTCTATAAGTATGTGAGATGTAAATGTAAATTCTATAGGTATGTGAGATGTAAATGTAAATTCTATAAGTATGTGAGATGTAAATGTAAATTCAGTGTGTCATTATACAATTTCAGTGTAAATTTGAGACGTCGATGTGAAAAAAGGGACGTTGAAATTGGTATCTGTAAAACTGCCATTTAGGAAAGATTGAGGATAAAAATTTCATGTTTTATTAGTATGTGATAAGTATGAACATCTCAGAGAAAAATATATTCCGATGTTTAACAATAGGCATAAAACAAGATGATAATTATCAGTCTTATACAATCCAACAACTCTGCTGTTCTTTAGCCATATTGTTGAAACATATATTCTCTGTCATATAGTTTCTTTTATAGATCATGTATATCACGTGACTAAAGAAATGAAACTGAAAATGTCAACTGTACAACGGGCCATGCGGCATTAAATACCGAATAAAAAATCTGATCTGATAATATCTGAATTGAGAACATAATATTGAACACAAAGTACGAAATGTCTCCCTAAGACGAAATACCTTTGTTTCAGCTGAGAAAACAACACGTGATAGTGATGCTACAACGCCACCAAATATAGGTATAAACATATCTTTATTTTCGTGATAGCTAAATATACCGTTTCCGGTTGATTGTCTTCTGATTAGCGATCAATAGGTATAATTTCTGAATTGAGAAAAATATTCAACATTAACTACAAAACGTCTCCCTAAGCAAAAATACCTTTGTTTCAGCTGAGAAAACAACACGTGATAGTGATGCTACAACGCCACCAAATATAGTTATAAACATATCTTTTTTTTCGTGATAGATAAATATACCGTTTCCAGTTGATTGTCTTCTGATTAGCGATTAAAAGGTAGAGAAAAATATATTCCGATGTTTAACAATAGGCATAAAACAAGATGATAATTATCAGTCTTATACAATCCAACAACTCTGCTGTTCTTTAGCCATATTGTTGAAACATATATTCTCTGTCATAAAGGTTGTTTTATAGATCATGTATATCACGTGACTAAAAAAATGAAACTGAAAATGTCAACTGTACAATGGGCCATGTGGCATTAAATACCGAATAAAAGATCTGATCTGATAATCTCTGAATTGAGAACATAATATTGAACACAAAGTACGAAATGTCTCCCTAAGACGAAATACCTTTGTTTCAGCTGAGAAAACAACACTTGATAGTGATGCTACAACGCCACCAAATATAGGTATAAACATATCTTTATTTTCGTGATAGACAAATATACCGTTTCCAGTTGACTGTCTTCTGATTAGCGATCAATAGGTATAATTTCTGAATTGAAAACAATATTCAACATTAACTACAAAACGTCTCCCTAAGCCAAAATACCTTTGTTTCAGCTGAGAAATCAACACCTGGCCGTGACGATACAACAACCCCAAACATAGGTACCTGTTGTTAGATCTAAAGTTGTTCAAATCGTTAGGATTTTAATGTTTTTACTCCCAGAATGTATGCAGAATATATTTGAACATGTTTTTAATTGTCTGTCTTTGTTGACATTTTAAACTGATGTTTCCCTAGCTAGGTGAGTTGCAGTACCATGGCACTATATTTATTAACACTTCAGTTCGTATTCTTTTATGAATAGTATGCTAAAAATTTAAATTTTATGTTTTGAAGGCACTCCTTCAGAACCATAAATTCAAAGATAAAGTTTATTTCATAAAAATCCCTGCTTCGTTTGAAAGACTTTCTCTGAGGAGTTCTTCTGTTCTGAAATGAAATATAAATTTTTGCAATTTTAAAACGCCTTACAGATATATATTGATTGGACTATGCATAGACCCGTTATTACAGCCAGAATGTAACTCCAGAATTCCAGCCTTATTCGGCAAGGTTTGAAACTGGACGTTTACAGTTAGTTAACTCCCTTGCCTCGAGGAGATGTGGCAATATTCCAAAGAAACGTCACTAATAATAGTCACCCAATCAGGAACAAGAAGATTCCCGTGCTAAGTCAGTGATAAAGGGAGAAAGGTGATGACGTCACTTCCGAAACTTACCAAACGAGAAATGAGATACATGTCATAGTATCCTAACAACGTAGAGTGATGCTCATGTCAATACAATGCAGTATAAACAGACCGCCGTCATATAGCTTTAATATTGCTGAGTGCAGGTCAAACAAGCAAACAAATGAAATAAATGAAACTGGATAATCGAGGATAAGTAACTTAATAGTTTCTCATTGTTGTTAAAGGGGCACTAGACTCGAGCAAGCTTTTTTCCAGTTGTTCAAACACAATTATTGTTTGATTGATGAATATTTAACAGTTCATTAGTACTTAGGTCTAGATACAATCGCAAAATGGGCAAATCGTTTTGTGCCATAATTAAAAGGCCATACTTAATAAATTATTTGACTGTTGGGTGTTCTTTTAGCAACAACATATCTTTTTTGTGAAAAATACAGACGTTAATAGTTCTTACCGAAGTTTATCGTGTACCTTATTAACAGAAAGCGCAATTTTACAACTCCCACTAATATATGGTTCACATAGATTGGCGTATTTTTTGCTTACTTTTTTCATTTTATACTTTTTGAATTTAGTGTCTAAGTATGGACATATGACCTTCTGAATAGGGTGTCCCAGTCGTCAAGGATACCGCAAAATTTGATGTCAGTTGCGTCCCTTAGGCCTGTATCACTGTGTTTTGTTCCTCCGATGTGACATTGAATAAACGGGAACTAGCGAATAATGTATTTGCCTTTGATAACGTTTTTGTTCCGCGTATCAAAATCACTGGTAACACGCTGTTAGGAGTTCGAATGTGTAATTGGAAAGAGATCGTCAGAACGAGTACTGCGGTAATAATGAATAGTCTTGTAAGATGAACTATCATTTTATTGACTGTCCTGACAATCTCCTTACAGCTGGAACCACGACTGATTCTGGCGTAACAAATACAGGTATTGTTCTCCCTGACCATCGAGAGTTCGGAGTTCATACTTTTGTTCATGCATGGTATTATACAGTCAAAGCACACCAAGCATGTCACTGCATAAATATATACACATCATGTCATGTGCACACCTCCCATTGGTGTTTATGTAAGTAAGATTTTCAAATTTTTATTAGTAGTATTAGTATTATTATTGTTGTTGTTATTGTTATTATTAGTATTATTATTGTTGTTGTTATTGTTATTATTATGATTGTTGTTGTTGTTGTTGTTAACAGATGGGTAATGAGTAGTGTCTTGTATTTGGAAGATGACATCCTCATTGATAGAGGTAGATAGCTCAAGTATGGGCAGGTGTTTTCGTCGTTATGGACAAGAAGCAGAATTTCAAATTGAGTCCGTTGTTTGACAGACAGATGGTGGATGTTTTTTTATGGGAAGGGGAGGGAACTCTTCAGGGTCGCGTGATTAACTAACGGAGCTACAGGGTTACAGGTTTTTCTATTTAACCATGATATCAACATACTTTCAAGAGATCTACTTTTGCTTCTATATCTGTTTAGACCATGAAATCTATTGTTGTAATAGTAATTAAAAAGGGTAAATTATTATACGCCAAGATAGGTTTGTCAGTGATATGTGTTATTTTATGATATCTTCTTCAAATACAGTTAATACACTGTTAACCTGTATCGACCCTTCTTTACTGTTACAGAAGCTGAGGAAACAACGACGCCGTCTTCGCCGTCAGCAGATACGACGGTGTTACGGGGTCTTTTTCCGTTTACCACAGCACTTACCCCAAATGATGACTCGGTCACTACAGAGGAGTCTACATCTCCTGGTCCCTCGCCTACAGCGTCAGTGACGACAAGTGGTGACTACTCGACGACAGGCAGCACTGGCGGAATGTCTGGTTATACCGATAATGTTCCCAGAACTGATACCACATCCACTGATGGTGATACCAGCAGCACTGCCAGAACGACTGAAGCCGCTCTGGTTCAGACAACGGGTTTTTCTTCCTCCTTTTCTTCCTCGAGTACAGCTGCAGCTGCAGGGGGTCACGTGGACAGATCCACTAATCAGGAAACGACATCCAGTATCAGCTCTACATCAGCGGCTTCTTCGTCCTCAACTATGGCGTCTACAGCTTCATCATCTTCAGCCACACAGTCAACGTCACCCGTTCATTCGACAGAAGGTTCTTCCTCTAGATCTCCCGGTTCTTCCTCCACCGAGTCCGCAGTCTTCACCACTGAGGCTGGTTCTACCAAAGCAACTAGCACATCCCCTCCAGGTTCAGTTGATGGGCGGATTGTGCTCGAGTTTGCAACTGACGTAAGTAGCATCATCTCCCAGAGGGATTACCCCCATTTGGACAAAGGTTAGAACAGGTCCCAAACACCCCCCTGCTGGTCCTATGATGACCCTGGGTTTTCAGGCTCTGCGACGAGGCTGACCACGAGAGGGTCGTCCCGTGAGGATTCCGAGAATTGGTCTTCAGCAAAACATGCTTGTTGCAAGCGGCGACTGACGGGATCGGGTGGTCAGGCTCGTTGACTTGGTTGATGCTTGGCATCGTATCCAAATTACGTACATCGATGCTCACTATGTCAATCACTGAATTGTCTCGATTATTTACAGACAACCGTCATATAAGTGCGGCGTTAAACAACAAACACTGTGGATCGAATTGCCCGTTTTTGTGTCCGATTTCGGACTTCTGTACCAATGCTGTACAATTCTGTGAGCAAGCAGTTTTCACCATGTTAAACACACGATATATCGTTCCCAGTTGACAGCGTAACCAATGGTTTTGGGGATATGTTTTACCATAAGATGGCATGTTATTTAAATATATAAGGTCAACGCCCGAGAATAACCAGTCTTGATTATCCTTTGGGCGTGAAATACATATGAATGGATCGCTGAAAATCAGTCATGGCACCAGTTTACGAATTGTTGCCTGACGCCCAAAGCAGTACTCCTGCCTTGCAACGGCGGTGTGTAAGCAACAAGACAATCAAGTGATGGCCAAAAGACAAATACAAACATAATATATGCTTGGAAATATATACTTGAATATTAAACTCAACTTCAAATATCATGTCTGATGAACTGAAATTAGAGAATGTTATTGCAATGAGGTGTAATGGGATTTAACGTATATTTAACTTATATACCTTATCTAGACATTAGACTTAGACATTATGCCGCAGTTTAACATGAATACCCCACTGAGACACAGCATACGGATTCCGAGCCGACAACTTTTTATTTTAGCCGCTTAATACCGATCGCCAGGCAGGGAAACAACAAGTACTATTTCCTAACGTCTTTTGGTATGACGGAGCCAGGGATCGAACCCCCGGCCTTACTATCTCCGGGCAGACGCTCACGGAGGCGGTCTTATTGAAATGAACAGTGGTAGAGGTTCCATCTCCATGAAAGCATTTTTATTTAACTTTGTTCCAGACTAACGTAAATTATACTGCAAGTGCCAAGAAGTGCATGTCGGAGCTACTGAACACCTATGACGAGACGGGACGAAATATTGCACACACCTTCAATGCCGGCGATGTCAACGTGATGACAGTGGATACGTCCTCGACGACAACGACCGTAGTACTGAGAGTTGTGCTCGACGAATCAGTGGGGAGAGGTGTGTATAGAGGCTATATCCTGAGAGTAATCAGAGTCCGCCCATTTGATGTTCGGCCAAGAATAGTGAGTGAGTTGGGTTTAACGCCGCTTTTAACAGTATTCCAGTTATATCACGGCGTGTCAGCTTAATGTGGGAGGAAAGACCGAGGTGATGCAGGTCTCAGACGTTTACCACTTTGGTGAAACCCACGAGCACGGGTATGGTGCTGACAAACCTAGAAACATAATCGGGGCGAACCGGGATTCGAACCCACAATCATAGGTTTCTGGCGTGCCCAAGGGACGCAACTCTGCACAGCGAATCGCGGCGCCTTAGGCGACTGGGCCACCCGTGCCCCCTCGGCCAAGAATAATATTATTAATGTAGTCATGAGTGATGCCACTTGATCCAAAACACTGTAATGCATTTTAAAAGAAGTCTGTCAACTGGAAGTCAATTCTTGCTTCTTGCTTCTTGCTTCTTGCATCTTGCTTCTTGCTTCTAACTCTGGTGCCCCGTGTGGACCATGGGAAGAATGTGCCCCCATCACCATATTACTGGTCTTGAGGGGTGACAAAACTGGAAACCGGTTGGGATTTCAGGTTAGAAGCGGTCCCTAGCAACCTATACTGGTCGCTCAAGGCGACTTGGATAGCGTGGTCAGGTTGAATGGCCTGGTCGTGTCATTGTACCCCGACGGCAGGGATCGTTGCTCACAATACCCCTGGATTGTCTGATCCAGACTCGATTATTTACAGACTGCCATTATATAACTGTAATATTGTTGAGTGCACCGTTAGAGAGCAAACAAACAAACAAACACTGTGTTACACTGTATCCGCTTCACGATGTTGCAGTTGTAATGACAGCCCGGGATCTCATCAACATGCTGAAATATCTCCAGAAAGAGAACAGACTGAACACTCAACAGTGTACGCGTAATGTAAGTATACAGTATGTCCAAAGAAAAGTGTATCCACATCTATGACCTCGAATTTCAATCACAACAGCACGAGCTACAGTTTAACCAACTTTGGTCTAATGCAGAAATACAAACAACTTGAGTTTTATTTTACGCCGCTTTTAGCAATATTCCAGCAATATCACGGCGGGGGACACCAGAAATGGGCTTCACACATTGTACCCATGTCGGGAATCGAACCCGGGTCTTCGGCGTGACGAGCGAACGCTTTAACCACTAGGCTACCCGACCGCCCCTGCAAACAAGAGGAATCTGCCAAGCATGTATAATGGCCAGTAATGTTAGGACCTACATTTGATATTCTGGGCCCTGGCTTGGATTTTGTATTGAGATGAGATTTTTTCAGCTGCAGCTGTAAAACCAGATAATTATTATTTAAAACTATGAGCCTGATTTTTTTAATTTGAAAAAAGAAATCTTGCAACAATGTCATTTTTGTGGCCGGCAAATTTATTTTTTTTCAACAATTTTCTGAGTCATTTGTGTTCAGATAAGATAGAATAGAACCCTAGAATATCAAATAGTCAGTCAACCTGAGAAGATCCGGGGTAGAATAGGTCTTCAGCAACCCATGCTTGCCGCAAAAGGCGACTATGCTTGTCGTAAGAGGCGACTAACGGGATCGGGTGGTCAGGCTCGCTGACTTGGTTAATGCATGTCATCGTATCCCAATTGCGTGGATCGATGCTCATGTTGTCAATCACTAGATAGTCTGGTCCAGACTCGATTATTTACAGTCATATAGCTGGGATATTGCTGAGTGCGGCGTTAAACAAATACCAAACAAATGGTCAGCCTCCATCTATTATTTACAGGACGCAGAGAACTAACAATGAACCAATTTCGTTTATGCCTGTTTCATTTCTAACTGTTGACTGTATTGGTTTTGCTGTGTAACGAGATGACTCTGGTTCCAGTTGGGGAAGATGCAGGACTTCTACAGATATGGAGAACAGCCCACCACGCCACCTCCAAAGTCTAGGCGCAGCTACTCGCTGTTCTATGACAAGCTACCTCTATTCATCGCCATCATTGTCATGGTAACGGTGTGCTTCCTCATCCTGATCTTCGGCATCGTTTACCTCCGCTTCTTCCACCACCATAGGAAATGGGACAGGACTAAGGACGTGGTGAGCTCTCCCCCCTCTCCTCCCCCCCCCCCCTCTCCTCCCCCCCCCCCCCCCCCTCTCTCTCTCTCTCTCTCTCTTGTGGCTGTGTCGTAAAACATTATTCACTCACTCGAGTGCTTGTTCATTTATCTGTTTTGCTTTTGTGTATACTCCTTCTTTTGTTTGAAGTGAAGTTAACTAGCTCAAACGGGATAGAATTATTATATAATGTTACAATGCAGTGTAGGTTTTACACTTTGTGAGACTTTGTGACTTTTTTGTATAATCAGATATGTTAAAACCAAATATATGATCTGTATGCACCCACTTGCATAACATCATCTTTTTACTGACCTATGCAGTATGCATGGGCAGTAGGAATGTGGGTTGTGTTCCAAGGTTCAGGGGGGCGGCCTGGGTTCGATTCACAAAACAGGCACGGCCCATGCTTAGTGTTCCCTTGGTGACCGGGGAGGATCTTGTTAAAAACGCTGTATAGAGATTAGTACCTCCAGTAATATCTAGAGATTTGTACCCGAGTCGTTTAAACAATGTCTAACGGTAGAGTTATCTCCCCTAGGAGCGGGCCAAGTTGAAGGAAACCAAGGAGCATCAAGGGCTAGAGAACCCAGTACCTGACTCTGAAATGATGAAAGACGAGGCGGTCGTGACCGAGACGTCACTCACCGTCAATGGCTCCCACCCCCAGCATTCCGTCCCCCTCGACGATGACAAGGGTTGGGTCATACCGATAGACCAAGCACCAGAAACTCAGTTCGAGGTAGCACTGAAGTCAGAAGATACGCAGTTATAGGAATTAGTGCAATGAGAAATCCAGCATTCAGGGCGAAAACAGTTGACTTTCTACACAATATGATCATTGACAATCATTTACTCAAAAACGATACCTCTGAGGAAGATCTGGGGACACTTTTGATCAGCCAATCAGTGACGAGGCTTCTAAATTCTCCGTACGAAAGAGCGAAACATTCAGACAAGCAGGTCGGACTTCTGTATCTCGTAAATAAATATAAATGGGGAATTCCGAATGCAAAAATATTAAACTATTAAATTGTTATCGGTATTTTACATATACTGTCGTTTCTGCGCGCCATGGCATCTGAGTAGAAAAAGTGCACTGTCGGTGACATGTTGCACTCTTCCTCTGCTAAGATAATAATTTCCGAATCGAGGTGGTAATGAAACTCGTTTTAGAAAGTTGACATTTGATTGGCTCAAGACCTCATGAATTGTGTCATATTAATATGATTTTATTTTTTTTAAACAATGCAAAATTGGTTCATGACGTCATCAGTAGACAGCATTACTGTACTAAGAGATTAGTGTGGTTTGATGCACAAACCAGAGACCATAAGCCAATATATGGTCTCTGCACAAACGAACATGCTAGTTTGTTATATGAAACGACGCTCATGTGACGTCATAGATCCATGACTCGCCATGCACTATTTGTCTCATACAGATTCGCGTGTAAAGTTTGGAAATCACGTGCAGCCATCGCGATAGGAATAAAGACACTGTGGAACACTTAACTGATTGTTAGTTTTGTCATTAATTGGTACAGAGAAACATCTTCTCAATATGTTTCTTTTGGCGGTGAGTATTGTATAACGAACAATAAATATGTACTTTGCTCTCCCAAGGCTGACACAATACAATTTTTATTACTATATGCTTTTTACAATACGGAAACACACTCTTCTAAATATAATCTCGATTTCGTAAGGAAACAGCAGGCTGCAGATTATTATTGTGGAATTCACAAATCAACTTAATGTCTTCATTGTAATATTTATGTATAACCGAAGTCACGGGCAGAAATGCCGTTCATCTCAGCATTATGTATATATTCACCATTCGTTTCATTTTAAATTATCATATATTAAATGCCTAGCGATGTTTGAAAGATTATGGATTGTTTTATAAATATATAGATATATAGATATATATATATTTAAGCTTGTTTGTATGCATGCTTCAAAAAGAGATATCTCTGGTCATTCTGACATTTAATATCATAATCATTCTTGTCTGCACTATAGCACTAGTTAAAATATATATCATCCTGTAACATATTAATGTGTATTTCGTTTGTAACATGTCACACATGAGCTTTTAAGACTGCTGTAAATAAAGTAGTGCGTTCATTATTTGGGCTTTTCGTTGTTTGTTTGTCGCACTCAGAAATGTTCCAGCTATATATGATGGCGGTCTGTAATGGAGACTGGACAGGTTAATCCAGTGATTGATATCATGAGCATCGATCCTCGCACAATTGGGATTCGATGACATGCAGGCTAAATTCTGACCCGGACTATTTTCGTTGTCATTGTGTTGCATGAATGTATGACGTGGTGAAATTGCTTGTTGAATCCACGATCAAAGTTTTATGGCACGCCTGATGGACGGGCCAATTGTTTTCTTGCGGGGTGAAGGGAGGTTGTTGGGAATATGTATCAGCCTATTTAAATCTACGAGCCTGACTTTTAAAAAAACCCTGCAAGAACCCCCCCCCCAAAAAAAACAAAAAAAAACAAAAAAACAACAACAAAAAACCCAACCCAAAACAAACAAAAACAACAACAAAAAACACACAAAAAACTCACACACAAAAAACTCTCTCTCACACACACACACACACACACACACACACACACACACACATCCCAGTACCACAGCTATCCACAGTGTGCAGCATGCAGCACCTCAAGTTTCCCTCTGGTTTCGACAAAATGTGATTACACATTACACAATCATTGTGATCAGCCTGTATTTGTTTATTTGTTTGTTGTTGATAATCCAGCTAATCATAATAGCCCGTAATTAATCAGAGTCTAAGCAGACAAACCAGTGGTTGATATTATGGGCATCACCAACGCCGACGGCATGCAATGACATGCAATCACCGGGTCACCGAGCCTGATCAACCGATTCATGACGTCACCTGGCTTGTGCGGGAATAATTAAGAATTGACCTTCATTTTGTCGCAAGCTCCGACGTTCATACAGTTTGGCCCTCACTCTATGAAGGTTCATACTCCAATGAAGTCACACAAAGTGAAGGCCAATTCTTATAATTTTTTTATCACAATTTCTTACCTCAAAGGATGAAGGCCAAGATCTAAACACAATTTTATTTAGTACGTGTGACTTCATGTTTACACTGACAGCCATACAACAACCAGCTATATCGCGGAGTAAAATAGTTCCTCAAAAAGAGAGGCGACATGGGCGTATGGATGCACAACTTGCTCTTCAGAAACATCTTACGCAGCACATGTGTTCATATCATATCCCCATTAGATGAGAAAGGTCTGTAAAGAACTACCTCAGTAAGTCAGTCACAATGACAACGCGTCGTAATACATTTACATCAAGTACAAGACGTCAAAATGGCCGACACGATAAACGTGACGGGAGAGATTTCCGAAGTTGTTAATGAACCTGTGGCGGTTACATGTGTTAGTCATCATTGATCAACTGGCCGATCATTGAAAGGTGAATAAAGATGCGTCAAACAGACACAAAGGTAAATTCATAGATTGCTGGAGACGGTCAATGTCAGCCTAGGCACGGATCGAGTCGATACTACGATAGGCCTAGTTTGGTGTGCATTTCTTCGTTTGTTCATTAGGATGGGCCGTAGCGAGGATATTCGTGAACAATCATGCAGTCACGCTCTCTGACATTTCTCAAAGTATACTGAAACGCTGAGACCAAGAATAAAGGTTCTAAATGATCAGAAAGAACGCTTATGCATGTTTTCGTGCTAGGGAATTCCCAGGGGTTTCCCCAGGAATGTGGAAGTAGTCCGTCAGTGATTACGTCATTTCAAGAACACGGTCTCGTGAAAAACGTATGAACGTCAAATTGTGTCGTTCATTTTAAGGATTGACTGTGTATTTTTTTCGGTTCATTGAGGTATGAATCGAAAAACCAATGTGCAAACTGTATGAATCCGCGTAGCGGATTCTTACAAAAGTTATTATACACCCAAATCTATAAGGGCGGGGGTATATAGTTATACCAAGGAATTCCGTCCGTCCGCCCTTCCGACATTTTTGCGTGATTCCAACATTTGGATTTTCGGAAAAAAAACCGCTATTTTAAAAAAAATATTCTTAGAATGTTTTTACATATGAAACATTTGTGCGACCTATAACTTAGAAACTACTGCATGCATTCTTTTCAAATTTAGGAACAGTTTCCATAGTAATGGGAACAGCGTCACATTACGTTTATTGGTCTTGCAATCGTATGTCTGCAGGAACAGTCGTAGAAAAATACTGTAAAAATCGAAGCTGCATCTTATAGGCCGAGGCTGATCATATAATTCCCAGGTAGAATGATGGTACAAGGTAGGGTGATTGAGACCATACGGGAGTGTGGCTGTGTTTCCCAAACTGCATTTTGAACGCCATCGATATCACGTGTGCCATCCGTGACGGAATCGGTGCATTAGCCAGTTGATCTACGTGATATTTGATGCATGTAATTAAGTCTGAAAATGACGAAAATCGTCAAATCTGTCGATCGCACTAGTAGAAATTCGGCGCACGGTCCAGTCGATCCTCAGTCCCTCGACAAAGGCTATCTTGAGAGGTGTAATATTTCCGACCTTGACCAATAATGATCCGACCCAGGTGATGCATCGGTGTATGATGGGAGTCGGGGAGCGAGTATGGTTTTATGCTGTTTCTAGAAGCGACCAACGACATAGCTCGCTGACTTGGCTGATGTATGTCACCTTATCCGAAAGCGTAGATCAATTCTCATGATGTCAATCACTGGATTGTCCGGTCCGGACTCGATTAATTACAGACCGCCGTCATAAAGTGGACGTGGACGGGGCGCGGTCGTAGTTATGGCGGGAGAAAAAGAAGAAGAACCCTATCAGAGACTGAATCGTTTTCCGAAGATAACGACGCCATGGTAGTTGGCTTGGGGTGATTGACTGCTGAAATAGTCTATCAAACTGTCCTTTAAGTAGCTCTTTCGGTTTGTCAGTAGCTGATGGTCCAAGTCCTGCATCTGTGGAGGGTGACTTCGAACGCCTGTCAGTGTCTTGCACCTAACGTGCGATTATAGTTACGAACAAACAACTAGCACTAGTTACGACAGTCACATATACACAAAGAAAAAAGTTAAGCACACACCTATTTCTGAACCATGACAAATGGCAAAAATCATGGCATGGGATGACCGACCACAGGAGCTGGGCGATACCAACGTCATCGAATAGAACAAACATTTGACAACAAATAATAAAAATATTGGTGAGTTGTAATTGAAATTTACTGACAAAAACATCATGGTAACACAGGTACTGTTTTTGACCCAAGACAATACCTAAAATGTATGGAGCTGCAGGATTAAGTAAACGAGTTAGGTTTGATGTCTCATGTGAAAATGTTCCTTAAAGTCTCTACTTGACATGACACGTGAAACAGATCAGTAGCGGGGATAACCGCCACGTGCCCGGACGACGCATTCCACCCTACGTATCATGCCTCCAGTCATGCCTCCATGTAATCCACGACTGCACACGAACGATGAGGCCTGGCATTGTCATCCATGTACTGAGGTCGAGTAGCAAGAGGGTGGTTGTCAAAATGAGGAACGACGACTGGCCTCAAAACGTCACGGATGTACTGAGCCCCTGTTAAGTTGCCCCTTATGGTGACCAAATCCAACCTGCAATCATGATAAATTCACCCCCAAACCATTACCGAGCCCCCGCCGTATGCAACAGTCGGTTTAATGTTCCTGGGAGAGTAGGCCGTGTTCCGGTGCCTCCAGACTCTCGTTCTTCCATCAGTGACGTGGAGCAGATAGCGACTTTCGTCTGACCAGTGGATCCCTCTCCAAGTTCTCAGATTCCAGTTCTGTCGCGCAATACACCACGCTAAACGAGCAGCTTTGTGGCAATCTCTCAACAAGGGACGCTTTTTGACTCGTCCAGCCCTTAATCCTTCTGCTTTCAGCCGGTTCCTGACGGTTCTGGTGCTGAAACGACGATTGGGCAACCATGGCTGTTTCAGACGAGTACTTGTTAAAAAGTGTTCTCGGCGTATGAGACGAAGAAGGTCCCTGTCTTCGCGATGTGTCGTCACAGGAGGTCTTCCGGATCTGGGACGGTCCTGTACATCACCGATCTGAGCATGTTTCTCGACTAAACGGCTTACGACAGTGTGATGATACCCCAAATTCCGACCAATGGCATTACAAGACATTCCTGCGTTATGCATGCCGATTATTTGCCATCTTGTGGCGTTTGATAATAACTGGATTTGGAATAACAGTTTAAGTAAGCAATTTTAACGTTTGGATGTACTACTTTTAGAGATACTCGAGGGTAGCATGCTGCACGGGCATACCATGCATGGCACGTGAGCTTTCGTCACGCATGACTGATTACATCATCTCGAGTAAACATAATTCTTCCCGTAATTATATCTTTCATGACTGTTAGTAGTCTGTTACACACATTGGGACCAAACAATAATGAAATATATTAGGGTGTGCTTAACCTTTTTCTTTGTGTATATATTAAAGGGAGTGAGGATCTCTTTTTTTACTGTCGAAAAAGTATGATATAACTTCTTGCGAAACAGGCGTTCTCCAATGGAAATTGGTATCGATGTCGAACCTGATGTCGATCCCGCGGAGGAGCATAGCGATCTTGTAACGGACGATCAACAAGGAGGAGATCTGCTGCGAGACTGTCGATCCTGATGTCGCTCCATTGTGAAAAATCTCTTAGATAGCGATACCTGCGCAAAAGTTGTTTTACCAGACCGGAGCAAGTACTGGGTCATATATTATTCAAAGAAGAGAAAACAACTTAGAGGGTAGTCAAATGTGCATAGAACAGTTAAAGCCATATTAAGTCATCGATTTCGTTTTGTTATCAATACGAGTAGGTCACTTAATAAACATAAACGAAACATGTCAGGAAATTAACACAGGGTACGTTTTTAGAAAAAAAATGGCTATTTATATGAAATTATATAGCAGTGTGTGAAGTTTCTGTCAGGGGTATAGTTCATGTACTTGTATTGAGATTTGTTATCAATCTTGTATGTTTTATAGTGAGTTTGATATTCACCTGAAGTGTTTTACTGTGCAGCTTTTAATAAGTAATCTGATC